TTTAAATCCGCCCAAATACCTCCTATACTTAAACTACCAAGACTTTTTAGATCTGATAGCGGTCTTACGGAATCACCCTTATTCCATGGAAACGGAGACAATTTCTGGTTTAGTACTACTCTTGTATATATCTATTTGCTTTATACAACCAAACTCCTAATTTACTTGAGCAAAAAGAATAACATAAAATTTTAAAATATTCGGAAATATAAGAAGATCACATTTTTATCCCAATAATATCCACTTACCTTAACCTTCTATGGTAAGCTTGAATTATCCTTCTTCAAGGATTGAGGATCTCACATCCGCAAGCATATTGGCGATCCGCGAGTTCTTTCTCAGACAGAGACTGGCTATAGCTATCCTTAAAGCAAATTATCATAGTTTCAAATTTACTGATTCATTTTCTTTCTTATTCTTATAATTTTAATATTTCACCTTATTATTTAATTTGGAATATTTTTTTCGTATTGTGTTGACTTATATTAATATGAATAATAAAATTTCATTTTTTTTACAAATTATTATAACAAATTTCCTTGTTTTCAAATTCAAATGTCTAGGCTTTCAAACAATGATTAATTAATACCTAAAAATAGATTTTTTTAAAATGCCTTATTAAATTAGAGTTTACATTTGAATAATTTAATAGTTGTTTTTTCAATCTTAAAATAACCCTGACAATCGAAATTTTATAAAAACAAATAAAATGTATTACCTTAAAGGCCAAGGCTAGTCTTCATAATTTTTGTCACAATCATCATAGGCTCAAAAATAATTGTTAGATCAGAATTTATAAAGTACCGGACCGGTAGCATATCAGGCAAATATTTACCAATAATAAAATTCTTTGATATTTAGTATATCTATTCCTCAAAATCGTTGATAAAAGTTAATTTTCACCTCTACAAACCCTATAATATAAAATCTAGTAATATTTAACCGTTGCCCTTGAATATAGGATAATAATATTTTCTGTTTTACGATAAATTTAAATTTTATAAGTCAAAATTTCCTAAAAATGATAATAGGCCCCCATTTGTTTTCATTTTTTTTATAAAGTTGATGCTAGGAAAAATAGCTTTTTTCAAGTGGCCATAGTAATTTTAGATGTTAACTGAATGCCCAATCTATTGGACTAGGTTAGGGTTAAGGACCGCCAAATATAGGGTACGGTTGTTGGTTCGATATAATTTGTTTATTTTTAGTAAATTTAGTTTTTTTAATTTTAAAGAAATTTTGCATGGGGAATTATTGTCACGGTTTTTTTATTTTGTAGAGCACTTTTGCTCTAGAAGGTTTCTTTTCGGGAAAGCAGCTAACTGATGATAAGAGTCTATTTTAACAATTGGTGTTTTGAACTGTTTCCTTTTCCAAATTTTTTAAAATAATTAACTTATATTTGAATTATTGAGCATTCATCTCGTAGACGAATCCAGAAACTTACCTAATAAGGGAAAGAGCCACACTTGTTAAAGTAGCGCGTAGCTATTAGTGCGCTATTTTAAAAATAACGTTAATGTCGTTCCTTTTTACAAAATAGCTGAGTAGCGATTTGTGCAACATTACTTGGCTACTTTAAATTTTTTTATATAATAAATTAATATATTATATAAAAATATTATAATTTATTTATAAATTTGATTTTTTTGGATCAACATAATCTTATAACATGGTAAATTGGTTCACCAAAAAAAATCTGGGTATGTATATTTGTTTATTAAATTAAGTTTTTTTGATATTATTAAATAGATATTACTCAATTAGTAAAATGAATTGAGATTTTTGTAAAAAAAATGAAGAATATATTAATAAGACGAGCTCTTTACTAGTGTTGTTAAACCGCTCTTTTAGATTCGATTTTTAAAGCTCAATATTTTAGCCAGAAAAATTGCCTAAGCCTTGAGATTTCGCTTGTAGATGTCCAAACCTTTGTTCCTTCTACAAACAAACTCTTCAGGCTTGCATAACACTATTCTGGATGAAATATTGAGTTAGCCGTTTTTAAAAATCGGCTCAAAACGAGCCGTTTAACAACACTACTCTTTACATGACTTATATTGAATTTTTTTTTTAATTTTTTTTTTAAAATAATATATGATTTATTCAATATAGTTTTCTCACATCAAATATAAAATAAAATAAAATAAAACAATATTATATAAAAACGGAAGTGGGACTACAAGTTCACATTTTATAAAATTGTGATTTGAAGGTTTTGTTTTAAAAAATAAAATTCTTTAGGTTCTGATGTAAGGGCTCTTGTCTTATCCCCTATGTTTTTTAAAAACTTTAAAGTTCTGCTTGGCATATGTCCAAGGGAAGAGATAACAATCGGTGTAAAAATATAATTTGTGAATTTGGAATATTTCATTGTTTTTTTTTCTCGGATATATCAACCGGATTAGAATTTAAATTTTTTGGGAAAGAAGATACGCATGTGAAGTCCCAAATTAAGGATTTCCCTAAAGATTTATCGTTAGATGATGGCTTAAGACCAGATGGCTTAACTTCCGTGCCTTGGTCTTTAGGGAAATCCTTAATTTGGGACTTCACATGGGTATCTTCTTTCCCAAAAAATTTAAATTCTAATCCGGTTGATATAGCCGAGAAAAAAAAACAATGAAATATTCCAAATTCACAAATTATATTTTTACACCGATTGTTATCTCTTCCCTTATATTGAATTATCCTTTTGTATTATACTAATTTTGTAATTGCAACTGTAATTAGATAGGCGACAAATTATCGCTGCTCTGAATTGACGCTGCGTGAATGGTCACCGCGCTGAATTGATGCTGGCCAATTTTCTCGCGTCGAGTTGATGTGGAACCGCAGCTTAGACTTAAAAAAACAATCAAAAATATGAAGAAAAAAGATGGGAGATAAAAAAGGGATAATAAATCCAAATTATATTCTAATCTATTGTCATTTAATGATATAAATATTCTAGAACCATAAAAAATATGGTTATAAAAAAAAATTCAAAGAGAAATTGAATTTAACAGGTGTTTTTCAATTATAGTTGATGGTACATATGATGTTTAGAAATCAAAATAAATAGCTTTGCTAGTGAAAATGGTAGCACGACTGATCTTGATATTAAAAAAATATGATATACAAACTTAGTTCCATGAATCTACGCCTTGAATTCTTAGCCTGGCAAGGCTATGTTTGTGTTTCAAGCAAGAGTGGAAGGATCACAGGAATACAAGTTTTGATTAGAGCTGAGATCTAAAAGACAGCTTTTTGGTGCTATTGTCATCGATTTCATTGTTCAATTATGCCAATCGATAAAAAAAACCAAGAAATTTAGAAAGTGTTAAAAGATATGTCATGCTTAAAGCATTTCAAAGCGATGTGCTGACAAAATCGCAACGATTTTTATGAATCAAGAATACCACTCTTATTTGTTTAGATTTAAAATGCTTATTTTTTATTTAAAGAAACTGGCTGTCATCATATAAAGCTATTGTAAAGTTTTTTTTTACTTTATAATGCCTTGAGGGTAGCTTTGACAAATTTAAAGGTTCTGAAGATTCTGCCACTTCTACAATGGCTAATGCTATTGTTTTTAGAATAGAAAGATTTTAGTTTATTTGTATTTAGGATAAAGTATTGTTGACAACAAGCTTGGCTTGTACAAATTTGCAAGCTATTTCGAAGGATATAGGGTTTGCAATCAATCAAATTTATTGACAAAAAATTGCATGATTAATTGGAGAATTATAATTTAAATTATTGTCTTGAATTATTTTTTAATCCTATTAGATAATATAATAACACTAAATTTATGAATGTTTTTATAAAGGAATAAGATTTTATAAAGGGAAGAAAACTACCTTTTGATTTTGAAAGTTCTAGATTTCAAACTTTACAATCAAAAAAGGAGAGGTATTACTCTCATTATTAAATATAATATTTTGTTTTAACTATAAAACCAGTTTATATTACATTGATTTGACCATTATGCAGTTTAATGAAAGATTCAATGATGAATCGATTAAATTTTTAAATCAAACATCATTTTTTACACCAAAGGGAATGGCGGAAAAGACATTCGTTAATGAAGATATTGAGGATATCTGTGATATTTACCATTTAGATTCAAGTCAAATTTTTGAAAAAATGTCGAAGATTCGAAATATTTATATTATGGCTAAAACGAGGGATGTGATTTTTATACATGACCTGGAGGTTAAATAATCTAAAGATGTGATTCTGAGAATCGTAAATTTATTTTATTAAAATATTTTTATTAATACATTATTAACTTATGATTTAGAGTGGAATTCATTTATTTTTCTGTTTTCCTTAATTTGTCAATTAATATAAATATTTTTTATTAACCATTCTTACTACCACATGTACTGCTTAAAAGATTTCAATAAATAACTGCTTTTTCTGGGGTGGAATAGGATAAACCTCTACAACCACTCCTTCCACTTGAAAAATGTTAATTTTTGTAGCATCAACTTTATAGAAAAGAAAAAGAGAATAGATTGGGGCGTTTTTTTCCTTATTTTTTCATTTTTAGTTTATAAAAGTTAAATTTAAACTCGTAAAACCGAAAATATCCTTATCTTAAATTAAAGGTCAAAGGTTAAATTATGCTTAAAGATATTATAACATGGGGTTTATAGAGACATAAATTAACTTTTATCAAAAGATATATTAAATATTAAGGAATATTATTGGTAAAGATTTGATTGAGTGTCTATCTAATGATATTTTACAAATTCTGATTTGGCAAATATTTTTTAACCTACCATAACTTTGACCTACGCAGACTAGTCTTGGCCTTCACTATGTAATACATTTATTAAATTTGTTTATATAAAATTTCGATTGTCTAAGTTATTTTATGATAACAGCAACTATAAAATAATTGAAATATGTTTAAAATTTAAAAATTTATTTTTATTTATTTATTAATCAATATTTAATAACGTTATAAAAGTTAAAAAGAAAGTTGAAAATCATAATAAATTTCTTTTAATAATTTGTAAAAATAAAAACTTGATTCAGTCTCTATACAAATTGGAAAATTATCGCTAATAATTAAAAAAAAAATGTTAGCTATTTATTTAATAATATTCTTATTAGCAACTGTATCTACATCCACCGGTAATTATTACAAAAATGTATAAACCAATGTTTTGTAAATGAAACCTATAAGGTCCATTCCTAATTCAACTTTTTGGTGCTCTTTTTAAAGTGCTTGAAATATTATTTGTTTTAAAGTGTTAATTTTAGCTCATACCTACTAACATTAAAAGATAATGTTTAAGGTAATTAGAAAGTAAACGGGAAACCTCTAAGAAATCCTAAATTTAATTTAAAAAATTTCAGGTCCAGCCTCTCACTTATGAAGATTTTAAAAAAATTGATCATCACGCTCCCCACAATTTAATATTTTTTAAAAATCAACTCACAATTAATATATCTCATTTACAAAAAAGGCTGTGATAGTCAACTGATGCGATAATCATCGCTAAACGATAGCATAGCTTCGCCATATTGGATTTTATGATTTTTGAAATTTTTTTTATTATAATAATTGGGGAATATATTCAAAATATCTGCATTTAAGCTCTTCCATATTTATTAGATATTAAGTTAAGCTCTGTGGGCATTTTTTAAAGCAAATTTGCTTGTTAAAATTATTTCATCTTAAATTAGATATTTCAAATGAGAATATCCCGGATAATATTTATTCCCTTCCATTCATATTATAAATATTATAAGGACTCTACCTGTCAGCCGAACCGAGCTAACGGTAGCGCAATCAATAAAGACCGGACCCGTGACTGAATATAACTATTATATTTTCTTCCATGAGATTTCTTCCCTATAAGTTTTTTTAAGGTGTCTGATAAATATTTGTTCTTAAACATGGGATTTTATTTATCTTTATATCACAGTGGTAAAGCTATGCCTCTGGCCAGTGACGTCACTAGTCTTTGCGATCTCAGGGGGCCCCAAAAAAAATGATTTCTTGAATTTTTGCTAGAATTTCTAATATGACCATTTTTTTTAGCTATTTTCAAAATGGCCCTCCTTTTTTTTATCTATTTTTTTAAAAAAATTTAAAATTTTCAGGGAACTTGAATCCTTGTGATCCTTCTCCTCTAGTGACGCTCTTGCCTCTGATAGTCATAGTGGCACTATTCCAATTTTGATTTAATAAATATAAATAATTCAAATGTTAACGTATATCTTTCTATTTATTTACCATTATTCATCCTTGAAAAAAAATTTCTCTCTTTTGCTTTAGCGCAAATTCAAAAAAAGGTAATTAAATTTCAAGATATACATTCTATTTCTATTTTTATTTTATTAAGATTTATACAAAATTTGCAGATATTTATCCTCTATTATTTCTGTAATTCATTGTCAAAGTGCATAAATTTTATGATTTTGAAATTTAAAAAAAATATAATATCTCATCTTTTTTTGCGAATTGTCTGAGACTCTGAGTCTGACTATTATATTTATATAACTAAATTTTCCAAATTTTAATGCGGGAAGTGTAAGTCTTTGAATCGACATGTGATTTCCCCTGCTATCTTTAGATGCCTATTAATAACACAAAATAGTTCAAAACAAAACCTTATTCTCTACAAAAAAAATTATTATATTTGAATTAAAAAAATATATATATATTACTTTTACAAAAACTCGAATCATTTTAAATTTCAATTTTATTATAGAGAATGCCGAAAGATATTCGAACACTGACACTGACACATATATTCAAATTCATGGTAAGATAAAATTGAAAATAATTAAATAAATATTTTAAAAATTTCTTTTTTTTAGGAATTGAATCATTTTGTGCATTTCGGTGTTCAGATTATAACTATGGAATATGTTATATTTGTGGCTAATAGAACTTTTAATGGAATCGAATATTAAAAATAAATTAATATTTTATTCAAATTGATTTTATCTTATCAGAAACAATATCGAATAATAACAAAAAAAAATTTCTTTAAAAGTATATCTGAGATATTTTGAGGCTCATTAAGTCTAATAAAACATTTTATATGGTGTTTATATTCAAAGGAGTTATTTTTAAAATGACTAGTTTAAGAATCACTAATTATTCTACAACCCTTTGTGATCCTTATGTTTTTGAATCAATAAGTAGTTACTTTTTTCGGTATTAATAATTAGCACGCGTTTTTCCACGAGAAACTCAAGCTTCTCTATCAGTGTTGACTGAGTTATGGGGTGAGGGCGTTAATAATTAACTTAAAGTAAATTTGAATTTGCTTATAAAATGTTTTGCAATATAGTTTGTCGCGTGTAATAACTCGTAGGTTACCTTTTTAAAATTGTCTAGTAGAACAAAAAAACAATTTTTTTAAAATAATATGATCTGATAAAAAAAAAATGTTTTCATTAAAATATTATAAATCTTGTGAGTTATGACCTTAAATTTCTTTCGTAAATTACTAATATATAGAATTTTGGATGTGGTACTATGTAACCAAATGTGAATAAAAAAACATGTTTCTATTAATTATTAAGATTTGAGTTTTTAAGTATGAAGAGAACTATAAATAAGAAATTTTGGCAAAAAAAAGAAGTATTTTGTTAAAATTTCGTTTGCAGTGTGTAGTGTTTTAAATTTGCTTGGTCATAAAATTTACGACCCATTGCTCAGGCGTGCTCTGATCACGAACCCTGAGCACAGACCCGGGGGATCCTGAGCAAAAATTAATTTATGGTTGTTTTAAAATGGAATATCAAGTGAATAAATATATAATTAAAAGAATAATATCCCAAAATTAATTTTAATTCGAAGAAATGTCAGGCAGTTATATACTAAAATAATATATTGACAATATATCATATTCAGGGTGGGAAGGTGGGGGGGGGCATGGGATCCATAAATAGAATTTATTTATTTTCTTGCTACATAAAAAAAAATTTATGATTATTTGTATTTGACTTGTCTGTCTGCTATATAATTATAATTAAAATAAATTATTTATTATTTAGAAATAGGTTGTTAAAATTTGGAAGATAAAATACATTAATATATTATTTTAAATTAAAAGTGCGAATTTCAGAAAAACTAATATGAATGGTATAAACAAAACAACTTATAATAAATCACAAAAGAATAAATAAATTGTGATGGTTTAATAACAAAGTCTGTGAAGTTCTGTAATATTTGTTCTCATATTTTTAAACGTGGGGATTAAGGGTCTGAACCTCGGGTCTGTGTTTGTTCATGCTCAGAACTGGTTTAGTCAATTTTTAGACCCAAACCCCGCGTCTGGGGTTTACACAATCAACCAATTACGATATTTTGAGTTTAAAATATTAGGATTGATATTATTGATACATCCCTATTTGAAAACTCTTTAGATATCATATTTAATTGATTTGTTAAATTAAAGGAATAATAAAAAAAATTAGATAATAACGAGGGGAAAGATACAATAAGATTGAAGATAGCATTTTTAGTTACTATGTTCTAAGGCTGGGAAATGAAAAGTTTTTTAATATTTGAAGTATTCGCCGAGCTCGCTCTCTCAAACTCTGTTTCGAAAAGATCACGACTTGATATTTTAGAGTTATGGGATATAAAAATAATACAAAAAACGAGAGAAAATTTTGTGTTGGGTTTTGAGATGAATAAGATGAACACTTATTATTGTATTTATAATTAAATAAATAAGGGTATATTTTTAAAATAATATATATAGCATTAACGATAATAATTTGGAATTTATAATATTAATAGTTATTTTAGTAAATATGAGGACAATACATTCTCTGATTTTTCATTTTATTTTGAATTGAAATAAAAGTTTGATTTATATTTTTCAATTATAAATTATAAATTTCGGGTCCAGCTGGTTCTAAAAATCAATAAAAATTAGGCTGAGCTTTAAAAATAAATTATAAAATTTGGTTCGGGTCTGGTTCGGGACAAAAAAAATAATTAATTTTGCAAGGTTCCAATCTAAAATGGAGCATCCTAGGATGCACTCTTTGGATTAGTGTTGTTAAATGGCTCGATTTTGGCAGATTTTTTAAAACGGTTAACTCAATAAAATATTATTGTAATCAATTAAATTTAGATCTATTAACTGAATTAAAATTTTTAATAAATATATTGTCTAAGCGTACAAGTCTTAATGAAGCCATGCCAATTATATATATTATTTTGAGGATTGTTATTCTAAACTACAATCAAATCTTTTTTATTTAGACTTTTGATATTTCGGATAACTCCCTAATTTCAAAATAATCAAATTCCTAACACTAATATTAGAAAATACTTTGATAACTAGGACTGCTGACCACTTTGAAAAGTGGGTAGATTTTTATTTTTTGTCCTTTATAAAGTTGGAAATTATTGTTTTTGTGGAATTCATTATTTAAATTATAAAATTATATATTTTTTAAACTTATTAATGACTATATTAAAAAAAACAAAATAACGAGTTATCGTTAATTAAGAAAATTTAGTTTATCAAATTATTCTAATGTTTTATCTTCTCCTAACTTTATATTGTCCTCTGTTATTACTGATACGGCTTCAACCACTTCTTTCCTTGTTCATAGCTGGTCGGCGTGTTTTTGTACTATTTTATCTTTTTCTGCTACGTTATGTGAGAATTTAGCTTGTTGATTTATTATCTTTCCCTCATGCCATCCTTTTTCAATTGGGTTTTTTATCCGAACTAAATCGTTGTCTCAGAAATAGTATGCCTTTGTCTAACTGGTAGGTTTCACTACAGAAGTTCTAATTTTTCAGTAATAGAAGGTTTGACTCAGTCCAATATGGTATTATTTTTTATAATGATTATATTTCACTTCAGTAAATATTCATTGACCTTAATAATATAATCCGTTATAATATACTATGAAAAATATATTATTTAAATATTGTTGAATATTATAATCTTAAAGTATATATATAAAATATAACATATGTTTTTACTTGTGACTTTTAATATGTTTTTGTATTGCTACCGATACTTTGACGGTTAGTGGTATGTGTAAAAATATTTTGCTTTATTGCTATACGACATTAGGTTAAGTATATTTAGCTGAATGACTCTCCTTCTGCAACCTAAAGAATTCAACCTGTGGATGGAACTCCTCCCTCTCATTATACAACTATATTCAAATTCTCGGTTTAATATATTGATTTTAAACTTAGGCACATATATTTTTCTTCATAACAGTTGGTTGCGGTTTAGAAAATTATATGGCTGCTAGGTTTTGATCTGAAACCCTGCACTGAAGAATTATTATTTAGTTGCCTTAATTGATGTTTGCACATTCTCATTGATACTTATGAACAATCCCCATGGTATAGTGGGCCCCTGTCCGATCTTAGTGAAACAATGTTATCCGATCTAATACTCCTCCCCCCCTCAATAGTGGGATGTAAGGAATATCATCCAAAATATGTTTAGGTGACACATAATAAAAATAAGAACCTTATAATATAACTCTAATATACAATTATACTATACAATGACTATAAATATATATATTCATTCATTTTTTCTTTCTTTCGTAATCTCCACTTCATTTATAGTAAATAATAATTTCAATCAATGAAAGTAGAGATCTGCAAAAGAAGGCCTGGCCCATATAGGGCACAAACGGGCTTCGGATCGGGCTCGGGCCTATTTTTTTAAAAATAATCGGGTTCGAACTGGGTCGGGCCTAATATTTTTAAATAAAATTCGGGCCGGACCGGGTCGGGCCTTGGAAATTTTTTAAAATATATTTAAATTTATCAATTTTATATTGAATTTTTTATGAAAAATAAAAATATTTGGGTTTTATTTATAGAACTAGACGCCATATAACATAAGTCTTTTATTTTGAGTAATTATAAAAATTAATTTTATTTATTAGGTTCGGGCCGGGTCGGTATATTTTCTTAAAAAAATTTCGGGTTCGGGCCGGGCTTGAAAAATTAGGCCTGATGCAGATCACTAAATGAAAGACCACAGTATTCGGATGTAAATATAAGATCGCTAAGTACAAATTAACTATTCATAGGCAAGTTATGAATGATCAACGATAGGATATCCTCCTTTTACAAGAAACTCATCTAAAGGAGATGGAAGTACGAAACCTCATGGATACACCTTATACTGCAACTCGAATGCTGAACACGTATGGACAGGAGTGGCAATTTTGATACACAATAAACTAATTAAATTTGTAAACTTCAACCCAATTTCCAGTCGCATTTGCTGAAATATGGGTTAAGAAGGTGCATTTATTTAACATTTATGCACCCCACAAGGACAAAATATTTTAAATTGAACTGGGAAATATCATAAAAGAACTGTCTCATCGAGATGGTAATACTTTTGCAAGCAATTTTAATGCCTCTATAGGCAGACCTAACAATCTTACCTGCCTCGGGAACGCTACATTACTACAAAGTACGAACTCTAATGGTAAGAAATTAATAGAAATCTGTGAACACTTCAATATGAAAATAGAAAATACCTTCTTCAACCATCCTAGCCATCATACCATGACCTACGGAAGTCCTTCCTTTGGCACTACCTCACAAATTGATTTCTTTGTAATTTTCACCAATATCTTCAAGCGGGTAAAAGATGTAATAGTCATCATCAAATTAAACTTCGCTCTATTTACGTACCATTATCCACTAGGATGCGAATTAGGCTAAACAATATCATTTTTCCGAAAAATGATCAAGGGAACCATCTTAACACCGTAGGTTTCATAGCTAGGAAAGACTTGGCACAGCTAAACGATTTGGACATAAAAGAGTTCATCACAAAATTAACAACTTGGAGAAATACGTTAAAGGCATGAACAATCCTAATATAACCTGGAAAATTATAAAGCTAAATTTATCATGCTGTATAACTTCATGCCTATGACTATGCATTAACGAAAAGAGTGGCTCACCCCACAATACATATAATAAAA